GCCGCCTTCCCTCCGACGGAGGCGCGAGGCCAGACGAGCGACCCCTCTGTTCCGACAGCTGCGACCCTGAGCGCTCCATGCCTGCGGGCGCGGGGAGGCATGGCCTCCCCAAGGGCCGCCACCTCTGCTGGCTGCTCTGCGCTTTCACCTTAAAGCTCTGGTAAGGAGAGGCTGAGCGAAGGGAGAAGGCGGGGACAGGGAGACCTTGCCCATGGACGGACGGCGGCGGCGGGGGTGCCCCGTCTTCTGGCCTCTGACTTTTGTCTTTTCCCTCCACCCCCCGCAGCCAAGCAGAGGCTCCCATGGGGGAGGAGAAACTGCCAGGTGGGTGACTGGGAACCCGACCCTCCCGTCCTCTTTTCGTTTTGTGTTTAGCATTTTCCCTATGTGCCAAGAGCACAGGTGGAAAAGGGCGGCATCGCCACGGAGTGAGGGCAGGCGCTGTGCTTGGAAGTTGGATGGGCAAAGCCTTTGGGAGAAATGTTTTCTGAACTGTCTGGGGTGGCACTTCTCTCTTTTAGTGAGCACCTCAAATCTGCCCTGCTGGGTAGTGGAAGAGTTTGTGGTAGCAGAAGAGTGCGCTCCATGTTCTAATTTCCAGGCTGTGAGTATGTGTTTTCTCTTTTCTGACATGTGAGCAGTCCCCAAGTCTTGTTAAGCTTGTCTTTGCATTGTCTTCTCTTTCTTCTCCCTGCAGTCTCAGTATGTGTACAAATCTGCACTTGTCTTGCTCCTTTCTTTCCAAGTGAATGGCAGTATTCAGCAGATAACCAGGTTCTGTTCATTTTTAGTACTGAAGGCTCTGGAAGCTCTCCTCGCTTCTCTTAGACGATTGCCCCTGAAATGTCGTTGTTTTATTTACTTAGAGACAGGGTCTTACTCTGTTGCCCATGCTAGAGTGCAGTGGCACCATCCTAGCTCACTGCAGCCTCTAACTCCTGCCCCAGCATCCTGAGTAGCTGACTATAGGCGTGCGCCACCACATCCAGCTCATTTAAATTTTTTTGTAGAGACTGAGTCTGCCTGTGTTGCCCAGGCTGGTGTCAAACTCCTGGCTTCAAGCAATCCTCCCTCCTAGGCCTCCCAAGTGCTAGATTGTAGGCATGAGCCGCTATGCCTGGCCTGAATTGTCTTTCTAATATTCACCCCTAGTCATGCAACCGCCACCTCCACCATCCGCGTCAGAACTTTTCATTAGTTCTCTGTTGCCTCCTACTCTGAGCCATAGCAGTTGCGCACCTGTCCTTCGAAGGGCAGCCTTTCTGTTTCTCCTGCTACCTATTCCTAACATATGCCTTGGTCCTTTTCTCCTGACAGAAAACCAACCCTGAGTGTGATTCCACAGGATATGTGGAGAAGATCACATGTAGCTCATCTAAGAGGAATGAGTTCAAAAGGTGAGTGCTATTTCTCTGAGATCACCTCCTGTGCTCCTATGACTTTAGGTAGATGAGCCAACCCCTTCTCCCTGGTCTGGGAGTAGCGTGGCAGATTGGAAAAAGGAGGAGATTTGCAGCCAAATTACTATAACTCAACTCCCTGCCCTATTCCTCAGCACTATGCTACCGGCCATATTTTCCCATCAGTAAAATTGGTTAATACTAGCTCTGCTTATCTCACCAGAGAAAAAATTAAATGATATATCCGAGAGGGACTTAGGTACTATAAACACATCAGAAGGCTAACTGGTTTCTTCTTCTCCTCTTTTTTTTTTTTTTGAGTTGGAGTCACTCTTTTGCCCAGGCTGCTGGGCTCAGGTGATCCTTCCATCTCAGCCTTCCAAGTAGCTTGAACTACAGGCACGCATCACCATCCCGGCTAATTTTTTGATTCATTGCACAGTACAGATGAGGTCTCACCAAGTTGCCCAGATAGGTGTCAAACCCATGGGCACAGGCAATCCTCTCACCTCAGCCTCCCAAAGTGCTGAGATTATAGGAGTGAGCCACTGCACCCGGCCCTCTTTTCCTCTTAAATACAAGGGAGAACCCAAAAAACAATACAAAAGAATTGTATTTATTCTTACATATTTAAACTTTAGTCACCTTCACAGTACTCTCTGTTTGATGTAAAATACTATCAGGTCTAGGCTCCGTGGCTCAGCCTGTAATCCCGCGCCTTTGGGAGGCTGAGGTGAGTGGATTGCCTGAGCCCGCGGGTTTGAGACCCGCCTGGGCAGCGAGACCTCATCTCTACAATAAATAAAAAATTCAGCCGGGCGTGGTAGCGCATGCCTGTAATTCCGGCTACTTGGAAGGCTGAGGCGGAAGGATCGCCGGAGCCCAGCAGGTCGAGGCTGCGGTGGCCCGGAGCAGCCACTGCACTCCAGTCTGGGTGACAGGGTGAGACTCCAACTCAAAAAAAAAATACTATCAGGATGCTTTTTCTACTGCTCAAAAACAGTTTTTGGCCCCTTGGAGGCCGCCACTCTCAGGGGGCCAAGACGAGAGGACACTATCGCTGGGAGGTGACACGCTCGAGTGGGCGTGCATTTGCGGGTGTTGGCACAAGAGGTGGGGTGCGCACAACCTAGGCAACTGTAGAAAGACTCGAACAGAGGACAAAAAATTTTTTCAAAAACTCATCAAAATAAGTTTTTTTGGGTTTTGTTTTGTGTGTTTTTTGTTTTGTTTTGTTTTGTTTTTGAGTTGGAGTCTCACTCTGTCGCCCAGACTGGAGTGCAGTGGCATGCTCCAGGCCACCGCAGCCTCAACCTTCTGGGCTTCAGCGATCCTCCCGCCTCAGCCTTCCAAGTAGCTGGAACTACAGGCGCACGCTACCACACCCGGCTAATTTTTGATTTATTGTAGAGATGAGGTCTCGCCAAGTTGCCCAGGCAGGTCTTGAACCCTCAGGCTCAGACAATTCACTCACCTTGGCCTCCCAAAGCGCTGGATTACAGGCCGAGCCACCAAGCCCAGCTGTTTTGTGTTTTCTATTGTAGAGACGAGGTCTCACCAAGTTGCCTGTGCTGGTTTCGAACCCGAGGGCTCAGGCAATCCATTTGCCTCAGCCTCGCAAAGTGCTGGGATTGCAGGCTGAGCCACCAAGCCCGGCCTAAAAGAAGCTTTTAACAACCAAAGTACTTTGGTTGACCATTTATTCCTCCAGAGTTTTTATCTGGAAGTTTTTAGAAGATTGAGTTATGAATTGCAGAAGAAGCGTCCTGAGTTGTGGCAAACAGGTAACTGGTTCTTCCGTCATGACAACACACCTGTCCACACTGTGCTGAGTGTTCAGCAGTTTTTGACCAAAAGTGGCATGACCCCCATGTCCTGCCCTTTCTATTCGTCCAATTTCGTCTGAGTGACTTTGTTTCCATGTGGATTAAAAGTCCTCAAAGGGAAACGTTTTGCCAATGTAGAAGAAGTGAAATAAACATCAGTAGAAGCATGAAAAGCCTCCAAAATTGATGAGTTTAGCTGGTCATGGTGGCTCAAGCCTATAATCCCAACACTTTGGGTGGTGGAGGCAAGAAGATTGCGTGGGCCCAGGGTTCGAGACCAGCCTGGGCAACTTGGTGAGACCTCGTCTCTACAATAAATAAAAAAAATATACTTAGCTGGGCATGGTAGCGTGCACCTGTAGTTCCAGCTCCTTGGAAGGCGGAGGTGGAAGGATTGCCTGAGCCCAGCAGGTTGAGGCTGCTGTGGCTGTGAGTATGCCACTGCACTCCAGCCTGGGTGACAGAGTGAGGCTCTAATTAAAAAAAAAAAATTGAGTTCAAAAACTGTTTTGAGCAGTGGACAAAGTGTCTCGATGGTTGTATTGCATCCAACGGAGAGTATGTTGAGGGTGACTAAAGGTTAAACATGTGAGCGTAGCCAGGTGCACGTGGAATCCCAGCATTTTAGGAGTTGCTGGCGAGAGGACTGCCTGAGCCTAGCGTTCAAGACCAGCTAGGGTAACTTGGCGAGACCTTGTCTCTACCATAAAGCAAAACATGAGCCGGGTGTGATGGCTGCATCGATGGTTCTAGCTACTTGGAGGCTCGCCGGAGCCCAGCAGGTCGAGGCAGAGGTGGCCATGAGCACGCCACTGCACTCCAGCCTGGGCAGCAGAGTGAGACGCTGACTCCAAAAAAACAGTAAAAGCAAACACGCAATTTTTTATAAATGAATTCTGGGGGTTTGGGCTCCCCTGTGTAGTTTGGGGAGGTTGAAGTCTCAGGGATCAGGAGAAGACGCCTGGCGTTTCCTGGGCGTGACCGTCCCTCCCTGCCCTCAGCTGCCGCTCCGCTCCCGGGGAACAGCGCTCATTCTGGGCATTCGAGGGGGCCGTTGTGGCTGCGGCCTTGGTCTTCGCCTGCCTCGTCGTCCTTCGCCGGCGACACCTGGACCGACAGGCTCTGGAAAAGGTCCGGAAGCAAATCGAGGCCATGTAGCCGCTTTCCGCCCCTTCGCCCCAGCCTCGGAGGCAGCTGAGCGGACTGACTCGCGCCCTCCTGGTGTCCCCCTCTCCCATACGCCTCCTTCGACCGTGAATGAGCAGAATAAAGAGTAAGTCACTTCCTTGCCTGCGGGTGTTGGGCGCCGGAAGGCATGAGGACAGACGGGAAGAGGGGTGGCTCTGGGCCAGTCTGAAGTGCCTGTCCCACCGCTGCTCAGCCTTTTGGCTAAGGTCCAGTGTAAGGGGCCTGTCTTCCCCCTTCTAACATTTATTTCAAGCTTCTGGGATACGCTTTCAGCTCAACGGTTTATTTCTCAGCCAAAACGTGTTGCCCCACAACCTATCCTCAAAGAAGAAATAAAATCACAGACATGGAACAAAAAGGTTTGAGGTGCCCTCTCACACAGGCAGACGGGTACTCAGGGCGCAGACGTCTAGGGGCCCTGAAGGGACTCAGACCCCAGAGAGCAGAGACGCCTGAGAGAATCCTGGGGAAACAGAGCCATAGGAAGCCCTGGGTTCCTTGTTGTTCTTGAAGGAGGCCAGGGAGGTCTGGCTCCAGCTCACATTTCATCTGTGTGCAGCACGGTTCTGATGCGCCCGCTGGGTCTCGTCTTCTCTCCCGTCTTCTCACGCAGTGTCCTTGCTGAGCCATTAGCACTCGTGGCTCCAGGTGGCTCCCCTCGCCTGGACTCTGCTACTTGGGCCTCCGGATTTCCTGTCATGTCTGCGTGGGTCAGGATATTTCTGGAAATCACTGTGAGGTGAAGGGAAAGAGCAGTAGTCGAGTGCTCCCTGGGGGAGAGCCTAGACAGGACAGGCCCACCTACCCACTTCTTGACTGCCTTGGGGATAGAGCCTGTCCTTGCCTCTCACCTCCCTGAGGCTGGTAATCCTCAGGCCCAGCTTCTGGTGGACCCTGGAAGGGGCTGAAGCTCGGCAGGATGATGAGAGCCAGGGAAAAAAGAAGGATCTGGGAGGAAGCAAGAGGACACCTGCTGTGGGGACAGTAACAGAATGGAGCAGAGGGCAGAGGGAATGAAGGGTTATCAGACACAGCTGAGCAGCAGGGTGTCAGATGTTAGATGGCGGAGGTGCAGGGAGACAGGAGGAGATAGACTGATGGTACCAGGATGCAAGTGCTGGTCTGGGCAGCTTTGTTGGATGTTTGCGCAATGAGTGTCTGCAGCTGACGGAGCTGAGCCACCAAGGAGCTGAGAAGGAAGAATGAAGAGTTAACGTCCTCTGGGAACCAGCGCCCCAGAACGGCACCTGTGTGCAGCCTTCCCCGCCTCCAGCACACACACTTGTATGCACGCACATGTTGTGCCTTTCCAGCTCCTGGACTTTCTTCTGGAGTTCTTGGTTCTGTGCAGAGCAGGCTGCCACCCTGGAGTGTGGAGAGGCAGGACAAGGCTCAGCAGTGTGTCCCTTGCCTTGCCTGCCTAGGAGAGACGGGGCCCTGACATTGCCCGTAGGAAGCCAGAAGTGTGAGCCCAACGTACCTGCTCTCTAGCCCATCCACGTACTCTTTCTTCCGCCGCCGACTGTCCTGGGCTGACTGCTTGTTTCGGATTTTCCTCCTGACCTTCTTGAGGACCCTTTCCTCTGCCTGGAGCCAGGGTGTGTGAGTCCCGGCCCTTAACCTCCCCTACTCCCCAGCTCTTCCCTTGGGATCCAGGCTCCTCAGCGTCACAGCAGGACCCCTGGATTCGAAAACTCTTGGGGGAGGGTGTTACCTTGGTGAGGGGCAGGTGAGAGGGCAGAGAAACCCCTTCCTGCCCCAGCAGACGCTTCTCTTCTTCTGTCAGGAACAGGGTTTGACAGGGCAACTAGGGGGAGGGAGGAGATGAGATGGGAGTGAGCAGAGGGTCATTCCATGGCCATCCCCAGTCTCCCCTGCATGCCTTCTGGAGAGTGTTGGCTCCAGCCCAGAGGTGAGGGGCGGTGGGGCAGAAACCTTAATTCAGACAGGTCAAGGCAGAGGGATGCCTGAGGCTGAGAAGGGAGAGAAGGGGGTTTTGTCACATCCTTGGCCCGGGGATGTAGACCTTGGCACTGTGGGTGAGCTAGGGGAGGCCTGTTCTGCTCCCTGTCGCCCCACACTGAGAGGGCTCTGCAGAGGATTTGGAGTGGCCTGCTGCAGTGGGGTTTGCTTGACTCCTGCAGCAGGCAAATGATCACTTTCAGCCATTAATGTCCACTTGGCAGAATGTGTAATCCAGTGCCTGTCAATCAGGGAGCTCCCCAGGCAGCAGCCCATTGTCCCCTAGGGACTGGGCTCCACTTTTCAGGCTCTGTCCCCTCTTGGAGCTCCCCAAGCGCAGCCAGAGTTCTCATAGCAAAGTACATAGGAACCGGGCTTGGTGGCTCAGCCTGTAATCCCACACTTTGAGAGGCTGAGGTGAGTGGATTGCCTGAGCCTGCGGGTTCGAGACCCGCCTGGGCAACTTAATGAGACCACACCTCTACAATAAATCAAAAAATTAGCCGGGCATGGTAGCGCACGCCTGTAGTTCCAACTACTCGGAAGGCTGAGGCGGAAGGATCGCCGGAGCCCAGCAGGTCGAGGCTGCGGTGGCTGGGAGCAGCCACTGCACTCCAGTCTGGCCGACAGAGTGAGACTCTGACTCAAAAAAAAAACAAAGTATGTAGGGAGGACAGAGGTTGTCAGTGGTTACCCAGAGCCCGGCAGCTAACTCACCTTTCTTATTAGTATTCCTTTTTGAAAGATTGGTGCTTCACTTTGTGACTTAAGGAGACTATGCTTTGGCTTTTGGTTAACTCACTTCCTACCTGCCTTCTCCTGATGCTCCCTTCTTGTTCCTGTGATGGTTTATGAACTATCAGACGGATCTTTTTTCAAACCCCTGGAGATCTCACCCAATCAAAACCTCTGAGAAGGCTGGGCTACAGTGGCTCACACCTATAATCCCAGCAATTTGGGAGGCTGAGGTGAGAGGATTGCCTGAGCCCTCCGGTTCAAGACTAGCCTGGGCAACTTGGCAAGATCTCATCTCTACAATAAATAAAAAAATTAGTTGGGCATGGTGGTGCATGCCTGTAGGTCCAGCTACTCGGAAGGCTGAGATGGAAGGATTGCTTGAGCCCAGCAGGTAGAGGCTGCGGTGCCTGTGAGTGTGCCACTGCGCTCCAGCCTGGGTAGCAGAGTGAGACTCCAACTCAAAAACAAAAGCAAAACAAAAAAAACCTCTAAGAAGGAATCCTAGAGGTTTTGTCTAAAAAACAAAACCACCAACACCCCAGTGCTTCTAACGTATACCCAAGTTTAGAAGCATCAGACTGTTTAAGGTCCTGAAGCCCAAGATTCTAAGATGCTTGGCTTGGCTTCTGGCCCAGCTTCAACTAGAGGTTTGAAGGTTAGGCTGGGACCACTCCCTGCCTTCTGAGCACGAGTCCTTTCCAAGGTAAAGGGAGGACCAGGGACTTGAGCACAGGCCCTCTCCCACTGTGGGACCCGGCTGGCCGGCCTTGGAAGGCATCTCATGTACTCAGCACTGTGGCCTTGGCCAGTGGTGCCTGCTGGGCAGTCGTTCCAGCAGAAACATTGCTGCAGTGGCTCCTCCTCCTCCTACCTGCACTCAGTAACCAGCTGATTCCCAGGCGGCCCGTCCCATTTCCGTGTCCTGACCCGAGGCTCAGACAATGGTGCTGGCTGAGCATACAGGGCACACAAGGTCTGGGCTTTCTCCCAAGCCCTGTCTCCAGTCTCCCTCACCCCACCTTGTCTAACTGAGTCATCACCACCTTACCCCCAAGGGTTCTCTCTCCCCTGTTCTTTCCTGGTCTTAAAATTGCTCATGTTTCCTTGGTTTTCAGGCCTGACGTAGTAAAAACTGGGCAAAGACAGGCTTCTCGTCAGTTTCCCCTTCCCTCACCCACTCTGCCCCATCTGTGTGAATACTTATGTGTGTGTCAGGGAGCAGTGGTTCCGGCTGACACCGAGACTCACCAGGGTCGCAGGAGGCACTGGGACTATGGTGCCTGCTGTGGGCAGGATGTGGGCATGCGCATCAAAGGGCAGCTCGCTGACCATGCAGGCATCAGGCACCACAAATGACGGGCTCCATTGACCTGAGGGGAACAGTAGGTACATGCTGACAGCAGCAGGGCATGGGGAGTGGCCAGGTTGGGGAAACCTTAATCCCATGGTGAGGGCTGACTGAAGGGCCATTGTCCCCTTCCCACAAAGAACACTGACCTAGCTGGATGGAGATAAGCTCGACATTTGGCCCAGCTTCCCCCTGTGCCCTCTCCAGGGCTCCTGCCTCATAGACAACCTCATAGAGGGCAGGAGGACTGGGTGCCCTGGGGGGAGGGGGACTGTCTGGGCGGCCAGGGTCCTCAGAGATGCTGCTGTCACTGCCAGGAGAGGCTTCAGAGCAGTACACCTCATTGGGATCAATGAAGATCTTCAGGAAATCTTCAGGCTCACTCTCTTGAAGGCCCTACAGTAGGAGAGGGTATATATGTGTGCAGGGAAGAAGTCCAACATGACATCAGACCTAGATCCTTCATGTTTCAATTGCAGTCCTTTCTCTCGGACATGGAGATAGTTATAATTCATGTCTATTTGGGCGTCTCTGTTTTCAGACCGAGGGCTGGAGCTTCTTATCACAGAGTTGTATCTCAACCCCACTCTCACCCCCGTTCATCACACTCACACAGCCCCCACTGGACTCCCAGCCTTGCAGCCCCTGTTCCTGTAGTCCAGTCACTGGGACTTCTAAGGGGGGACAGTGGACTCCCAGCTCCAGGAGGGAGCTTGTCGGGAAGACATCTTCTGAGGGCTCCAGCCACGCATCCAGCAGGTCAGGGACTCCGAGATCCATAATTCTGCGGGAAGGCGTGTGGGACGAGAGTTGCACAAGGAGGATGATGGCTGTCCCCTCCCCCTGCGACTTCTGGACCCTCCTGCTCCCTCTTCCGTGATCTCCCCCACCCCCATCTGCGCAGACCCCTCACCTTCAGCCTTATCTCTCAAGTTCAGACAGACGGGCCCCCGGGGATTACCTGTTCCGAGAAGACCAGTCCTGCCAAGCCAGCCCAGCGCTGACCGCCCAAACACTACAACTTTTCTTCCCTCCAGGATCTCGCATCCTGGACCTGCCCAACCAAACCCCGCCTCCTGCCTCGCACCAGGAAGGTGGGTTGCACCTTGTCAGGAGTTGCGGCACACGGGAGTAGATTAGAGCGGCCGGGGCGTCCACAAACGGGATTTAAGGGAAACCTAGGTGGCGTCGCCCTTTCTGCCTCAGTTTTTCCTAGCGATGGTAAACCTTCCTAGGGTTTGGCTCTCCCTAGGGAAGCACAGAGAGGGCTGTGACTGGAGCATGGAATGCTTGAATGCCTATCCTGCAACCATCGTTTTTACTGGAGGGAGAGCAGGACAGGGGCGTAAACAAAAGCCGAGAGTCAAGGGAAACCAAGAGAAATTACGGAGGCCCCCGCCTCCGCTCACCGCGTGGCGCTTTTCCCACAGTTGAGTCCTGATTGGACGCTGAAGACTCAGGGGCTTTGAGGGGCAGGGCATCGGCCCAGTGACATTGCGCGCGCAAGGCCGGCTCCGCCCTAGCTGGGCCGGATAGGCCCTCAGGGGGAGTCCGGCCAATGGGGCCGCAGCACTTATTTGTCAGGCGGGGATTGGGTCCCGCCCGGCCTCAGGACCGGATAAGAGCCCGAAAATAAATTCTGGGGGAGGTGGGAGAGAGTTCCGAGAATGTGGGTGGGAGTGGCCTGGTTTGTTTTCTCCTACCACGTGACTCCGGAGCTCAGGCTATTACCACCAGGGGAGGGTAAATAACCTGTTGGCCCGAGTTTAGCGACAGGATTTTGACTCAGCAGGAGGAAGGTCGCGCGATCGCGGGTTTTGGAGATTTGTCTTATTATGTGCGTATATGTCCCGCATTTGTATAATTTACAAAATGTTTTCAAAAACTGTTCTTTTCTGTAAACTCGAGGGAACATAGGGCAGGTAATATTTTGTTTTTTGTTTTTGTTTTTGTTTTTTGCGGAGGCATCTCACTATGTCGCCCAGGCTGGAGTGAAGTGGCATGCTCACGGCCAACGCAGCCTGGACATGCTGGGCTCAGGCCATCCTTCCGCCTCAGCTTTCCAAGTAGCTGGAACTACAGACATGTGCCACTACCCCCGGCTAATTTTTTTGATTTATAGTAGAGATGAGGTCTCGCCAAGTTCCCCCTGCTAGTTTCAAAGCCATGGGCTCAGGCAATTCTCTCGCCTCTGCCTCTCAAAAGTGTTGGGATTACAGGTGTGGGCCACCAAGCCC